GTGAAACATAACAAGAGCTGGAAATTGTGCGATAAGCATAAGGCTCTGTCTTTACAGTTAAGAAGGGAGAGGACGGCTGAGACTTGTGACAGCCTCTAACAATGACAATCTGGAGTGCTGCGGAGATGGAGATGCAACGGCTGCACCCCGAAGAGGCATAAATGAAAAGGTCCGATCCTCACCGAGCCCCTCCCGCAGGTCAGAGCGGGTACAGTTTAACAGAGCTGGAGCCGAGTGCAGAAGGAGGCCGGCAGGGTGCACATTCTCCACTTTGACCCTGACATTCTTGAAAACAAACTCTTCCCTCTACTCGCCGCACCTCATCTTTCCACATTTTTTGCATACCAACACATGCTGGCACGAATAATCAGATCCCCTTCCAAATGTCTTTTGTTATGGACCATTAAGAACCCAGACATGTAATGCTCCAAATAAGCAAATTCATATCTTCTCGAGAAAGTATGACCAAGATTTTTCAACCTTGATGAAATTCCACAGATTTCAGCTCTTTGAAAACACAATGCAGCTTTCAATTTAAGACACAAAACAGTTCCTTTCAGGGGGTCAGCCGCACATCCCCTTTTCTTCAGCATACTGACCCACTTATTCAGCATGTCCCAACCCCCGCTGCTTTTATTGTGTGAAACAAACTCATCATTCATCATCGACTGAGGTCCACAATTACCCCCACTCTTTCGGGGCCACAGAAAGAAGAGAAGACACAACGCAACTGGGGAATGGCAGCTCATTAGATTAGTGATGGCTTGCCACTGCAATTAACTACTATACAGAGCAATTTAGTGCTCCAGTTTCCAGCAATCTTCTTTGCAAGGGCCGCTCTGGTCCCTGCAAACGTCAGGGCCACTCAAAGGAGGGAAAAGCAGCACTTTGATGCACAGTTCACTCTGGCAGTCCTTTTTCCTCTGTCTGACGCCCTCACACAAAGTAGGAGTGTACATGAGAGAATAAGCAGCTTTTCCTTTTATTGTAAGACTTTCTCATAACCTGTAGCTCAGACTCCTACCCACATGCTGTCAACATTTTGGACTTCACAGGCTTTCAAGACTTTGGGTTTCATGGTACTGTTTTGCTTAATATTTGAGATTCAAGATTTCTTTGGTATTTGTGCCTATCACACAGCAAACCAGACTAACAGTATCTTTCACTAACATGCTTTAAAAACTATATATATATATATACACACTACCGTTCAAAAGTTTGGGGTCACCCAAACAATTTTGTGTTTTCCTGAAAAGTCACACTTATTCACCACCATACGTTGTGAAATGAATAGAAAATGGAGTCAAGACATTGACAAGGTTAGAAATAATGATTTGTATTTGAAATAAGATCTTTTTTACATCAAACTTTGCTTTCGTCAAAGAATCCTCCATTTGCAGCAATTACAGCATTGCAGACCTTTGGCATTCTAGCTGTTAATTTGTTGAGGTAATCTGGAGAAATTGCACCCCACGCTTCCAGAAGCAGCTCCCACAAGTTGGATTGGTTGGATGGGCACTTCTTGCGTACCATACGGTCAAGCTGCTCCCACAACAGCTCAATGGGGTTCAGATCTGGTGACTGCGCTGGCCACTCCATTACCGATAGAATACCAGCTGCCTGCTTCTGCTCTAAATAGTTCTTGCACAATTTGGAGGTGTGTTTAGGGTCATTGTCCTGTTGTAGGATGAAATTGGCTCCAATCAAGCGCTGTCCACTGGGTATGGCATGGCGTTGCAAAATGGAGTGATAGCCTTCCTTATTCAGAATCCCTTTTACCCTGTACAAATCTCCCACCTTACCAGCACCAAAGCAACCCCAGACCATCATATTACCTCCACCATGCTTAACAGATGGCGTCAGGCATTCTTCCAGCATCTTTTCATTTGTTCTGCGTCTCACAAACGTTCTTCTTTGTGATCCAAACACCTCAAACTTGGATTCATCCGTCCACAACACTTTTTTCCAGTCTTCCTCTGTCCAATGTCTGTGTTCTTTTGCCCATCTTAATCTTTTTCTTTTATTGGCCAGTCTCAGATATGGCTTTTTCTTTGCCACTCTGCCCTGAAGCCCAGAATCCTGCAGCCGCCTCTTCACTGTAGATGTTGACACTGGTGTTTTGCGGGTACTATTTAATGAAGATGCCAGTTGGGGACCTGTGAGGCGTCTGTTTCTCAAACTAGAGACTCTAATGTACTTATCTTCTTGCTCAGTTGTGCAACGCGGCCTCCCACTTCTTTTTCTACTCTGGTTAGAGCCTGTTTGTGCTGTCCTCTGAAGGGAGTAGTACACACCGTTGTAGGAAATCTTCAATTTCTTAGCAATGTCTCGCATGGAATAGCCTTCATTTCTAAGAACAAGAATAGACTGTCGAGTTTCAGATGAAAGTTTTGATGAACTGTTTTTCTGGCCATTTTGAGCGTTTAATTGACCCCACAAATGTGATGCTCCAGAAACTCAATCTGCTCAAAGGAAGGTCAGTTTTGTAGCTTCTGTAACGACCTAAACTGTTTTCAGATGTGTGAACATGATTGCACAAGGGTTTTCTAATCATCAATTAGCCTTCTGAGCCAATGAGCAAACACATTGTACCATTAGAACACTGGAGTGATAGTTGCTGGAAATGGGCCTCTATACACCTATGTAGATATTGCACCAAAAACCAGACATTTGCAGCTAGAATAGTCATTTACCACATTAGCAATGTATAGAGTGTATTTCTTCAAAGTTAAGACTAGTTTAAAGTTATCTTCATTGAAAAGTACAGTGCTTTTCCTTCAAAAATAAGGACATTTCAATGTGACCCCAAACTTTTGAACGGTAGTGTATATATAACGATATTTTGTAGGTATGACCCCAAAATATTTATTGTTCACTTACCAGATCTTATCACGTGTTTATACATTTGCCTGATATAAACAGCAGATATAAATAGGTAAAGCATAAATGTTATCACTATATACATGAGTGTCTGCATAATAATTATTAGGCACATAAATCTTATCTACAAATGTCTCAAAGTCCAACCTCAAGAGAGAACACTAATTCAAGGACACAAACAAAAGTGTTTACAAACCACTGCGGGTAAACCCCTGATGACATACTCCCTCGGGGTAGCAGTACCTCTGTTCAACAAAAGGAAATGTTCTCAGACTCTTGCTGCAGAGCGCTGCTGTGGACCCCCACCAGGCCTGCAGGAAGCCGAGAACAAGGACAACTTCCACTCTTTGAGACAAACAGGACACATGTGAGTCACACAGCGACCTACTGGAAACAATGTGTCTTCAGTCCTTTCTGTGTGCTGTCTCCTGCTATGGACCGCTGCTCATCTCATCTTAACTCACCTTCCTCTATTTTTGAAACAACAATTGACAAACCCTCTGCTCTGCTCTAAAGAAAACTTCTAAGCATTCACTTAAATATTGGCCGGTTCTTCAGTGATACTATTTTACTAATGGTGCAGAATCACACTGATTTGCATAATGAAGGGTTCAAGGAAGTTTATAAAATCTGATGTTTAGCTTTTTTAGAAGTTATTTTTTGACAATGTAGCCACAACAATGACCTTGCCAGTAAGGCAACTCCTAACAGTTTCATATACAGATAAATGTCTCTAAATTTTATCATTAAACATCATTCCTCCTGTAAAATGTTTCCTCCCTACAGGAAGAAGAGATAAGCAAACACCTCCACAGTTGACTGGCTAGAAAGTCTTCCCATGAAAAATGATGACGAGCTAAATTTAACTGCTACATAGGGTTTCGTTTTTCTTTTGTTGACCCAGCTCAAGTGTGTGAACTCAAGCTTATTTTCCCACTTGTGTCATTTGAAAACAACATACAACAACTTCTCAGCACTTGTAGGTGAATATCCTATGCCGATCTGCATGTTTAAACTACTTTCTTTGAGCAGTTCAATTACATCCCCTTTAAAAACTGACATGTTAAAGCTCTTTATCATCAGCATTTCGCTGCAAGCCAGTCAAGTAACCACTGACTTATGACCAACACCGCAGATATGCTGGATATACTGGAATGTAAAGGGTTAACACTGTGGGAGGAACTCTATAAATAGTGAAAAGTTAACTTTCAACATGTACATAAGTCTACAGTGTTACTTCTGAGGCATTAAATGTTTTGATAAACTATTATTTAATGAATGTAAATGTAAATGCTCCGTACTTGTATAGCGCCTTTCTAGTCTTTTCGACCACTCAAAGCGCTTTTACACTACATCTGCATTCACCAGTCACACACATTCATACACTGAGCCTAAGTGCTCAAACGGAAACTAACATTCACACTCACTCATACACTGGCGGAATAGCCGCCAGGGGCAATTCGGGGTTCAGTATCTTGCCCAAGGACACTTCGACATGCAACCAGGGGGAGCCAGGATTGATCCGCCGACCTTCCGATTAACGGCCAACCCGCTCTACCTCCTGAGCCACAGCCGAAGTATGCCAAGTGCGGGTCAGTGCAAATATCTTGTTGGATGATTATTTATATTTTTTGTTTTATAATATTAACAATTCTTGTTTCACTCAGGACTTTTCCCTGCACTCCGCTTTTTGCCTGGTACAGTAAATCATATGTTGACATCTTGAATTCAACATTTTTTCAACAGCATTGGCCGATAAAACAAAGCCTTGTGGCCTACTTTTTGCACAGAAATACATACTGATTGAAAGGGACAAGCTTATTCTGGATACAGCATGTCCTGCCCGTTTTAAAACCAGCGTTGAGATAGTCAGCGCCACAGAGGGGAACTAGTGAAAAGGTGTAAATAACGTCACTTCAAAGCAGCGCCCCGACCTCTGATGACGAACATATGGCACAAGTTGCAATGCAAAACACACACACAGCTCCCTGATGAGATGCTTATCTCCACACTCCTCTGTGACAGGCTGTGTTTCTGGAATGGGGAAGGGCGAAGGAAATGAGGAGGAGGGAACACAGGGAGTCAAACTGAAGGAGACGGGGGGGTGGAGGGGTGATTACCTGTTTGGCGTCCTCCAAAGACGTCTGCAGCCTGCTTATTTCCTTCTCATACTGCTCCCTCATATTGTCCATCTCCTGATCATGAACGGCCACTTCCTCCTTCAGGGCTCCTTTTAGAGCTGTCAGCTCCCTCTCTCGCCTCCTCAGCACCTCCTCCTGCTCCTCCTTGGCCAGGAGAACTTCTTGCATCTCCACCTTCAATTGCATCATGTCCTGTAGAAAACATGGGGACAGTTTGGTAACTTTTTTTCACTTGCAATTTGCAGAGTCACACTGGAGTTGACTCTGACCCTTAAGTTTGCTCTTGGTTACTTTCTCACTGCAAAAGTAGAGCCAAAGACAAAGCAGTATGTGGATATTTTGGAAATAACCAATATCCTTGCTAGTTTGTTCATTGAGATAAAGATAAAGCCTTCACAATACGAAGTTGAGTTAATTTTGTACTGTGGTATGGGACGTAACAAATCATTGAACCCGTTTCTAACAGGCTAGTCTCTACACTGGTTGTAGTTTTAAATGCAGTGTGAAACAGCTTAATGTTAACTCACTCTAAAAAAGATTTTACTATATGGTTGTTGGGGTGGTGATGGCACAATGGATAAGACTATGCCTTTGGTGGTTCAATCCCCCATTGTGACCCATCCACCATTGTGTCCCTGAGCAAGACACTTAACCCCTAGTTGCTCCAGAGGCGTGCGGTCTGTGACATGTATAGCAATTTTAAGTCACTTTGGATAAAAAGCGTCAGCTAAAAAATGAATAAATAAATAAAATATGGGTTTATGTATTCAAGAGGCAAAATAGAACATCTTCCATCTTTCATGGTGGTTTACAACACCACCAGCTGCCATCTGCCACATCACCCACAAGCTTAGAGCCAATAGAAAGTTTTCTCTAGAACTGTGAACGCTGTGCATTACCGTTATAATGAGGTCTTTCTCTCCATCAGAGGTCGACTTCTTGGCCGAGTCAAGCTCGTCATGCATCTCTGACAGCTGGTCCTGCAGGTCTCTGATCTCTGTCTGATATTGCTCCCTCTCCATCTTCACCTGGAACAGCCTGATAAACCACACAACATGTCACAACACAGGTGGATGTGCACATACACACCCGCACACCTGCACATTAATTTGCACCTGTAAATGGTAGCACCAGTGCTGGGTCTGAATGTGAGGTCTACAGAGCACAGAGTTTAAAAGAAATACCTAAGTATGACAGACCAATGATGTCTAAACTGACAACAACGCTGAGGGGGAGGGTGATAAGTGATGTGAGGAAACAAACAAATCACCACACAGTCATGTACACTGAAGCAGGACATCTATACTTGCTGTAGACTCAGAGGGGAGCGACCAGTAGCTGAATGGTCGGAGAGCATGCCATATTACCGCAACATTTCTAGTTCAGCCAGGTAGAGTGTGAACCACAGGGGAGCCGGGGGCACTAAACTCACCCAAAAACATGGAAATTTTTGGGGGAGGGACTCTAAAATATTGAGAAAAATGCTATTTTCGCCATGCATTTCTCTTTTCTGTATCTTCATCATCATGGATGATGGATGGATTTTAAAATTATTGATGTATGCTATTCTTGTCATTGCCATCGAAGCGTGGTAGTGCAATATTATAATCTTCACTCACTGTAACCCTAAGATAAGAAAGTAAGATAAGAAAATAGAAATGACTTTCTTAGTACCAATCAGTCTGTGCTCTGAATCACCATGATTCATTTAAGCTAAAGCACCAGGTGAAACGCTGGAAAAGCTTTTTAGGCTACAGCAAGCAGAGTTTACCTTACCACTCATCTGAGCTTGAGGGGTTTTTCTTCCATTAATGATACTGATGGCAAGGCCCGTAATTTGGTTGCGTGAAAAAAGCCTCTCGTTGTTCCTTTTTATGGATCTTAAATGGACCCTCTTTGGAAGGTTTCAGCCCAACACCCATTGCACATCATACTTCTCTCTCTACCCCCTGTTTCCTGTCTGCCTCTTCACCATTGATAGTCCAAAAAAGGTAAAAATGTAAAAAGTTTATGTAAAAAACAAACAAACAAATAGACTCAGAGGAGCTAAGCAATGTTTGTTACTGGGCTATTCATCCTGACAAAGAAACACAGTAAAGTTGAAACTGCAGATTAGAATCAACTGAAAAACAAAACTTCAATTGAAAAGTGAAAGATTCAAAGAACAAAAAAAAAACGAATTAAAAATGAAGCCCCAACACAGAAGGAAGCAGAAACTAAAGAGCACAGCATTCAATAGCATGGAAATCCACAAAAAGTATCACAGAAAATTTTTAAACCTGTAGATCAAAATACTGACAATTCTGCTACTGTTCCCATCTTAAACAGGGAGAACCCCACACAAAACCACCAAGCTCTGGATAGCAGCAACACTCTGGACATCAGACTGACATCAGTCAAATAATAATAACTGTTAGTGCCGAATGAACAGTAAATCAGTCACCAAGCACACATTAATATGGAAGGTGAAAGACAAACTTAACAAACCAAAGATAGAGGAACTCACATGGTAACCACTCCAGTAACTATCAACAGTCTGAGTGGTTTCATCAACAGACATCCTACACTGGTTTCAGCGTGACAGTACATTGCAAAGCAACAGCTGATGAATAACCAGTCAAGCTAATTATTATTATTACATCCATGTGCATACAGGGAAAGCCCAAAGCATCAATAACAACAGAAATGACATTAATTGGTGAGGAATAGCCTGAAAGGAGGAGCTGGGGTGGCGACGGGTTACAGGCGGCTCACAGAGAAAGCAGCAGGGGTAGGCTAAAGCAGCTTGAATAAGGCACCTTGTATGGCTTTTGCCAATGAATACTGAGAGCAAAATCAACTGAGCCATCAGCTGATGTGGGCTGACTTTGACATTGGCTGCAATCAGCTGATGTGCTGGAATTGAGATGCGAGCTCGACTTTGTTGCCAGCCTGAACTAATGCTATGCTCAACTTGTGTCCAAGATGAAGATAACAGTAAAGGGAGTTGAACTTTGGTATTTTGCCTCTAAGCAAAAACAATTCTAACTAAGTTTTTTTTTAAAGTAAAAGAAACACTGGCATTGACCATTTCTGGAAATACTAAATTAGTTTAGTCAAGTTAGATTAATCTACACTGATGGTCATCCAGCACTGTCACTCTGCACTTACTCTTCGACTGTGGTCTGGAGCTCGGCCTCTGTTTTGGCTAGTTTTTCCTTCAGATGCTTGCACTCCTCTGCACTCCGCTCCAACTCCTGCTGCAGCTCCTTCAAACCGTCTGCTATCCTCTTGTCAGCCTGGTTCTTCTGATAGTGACACACACAAATATTCATGTTGACATTTCAAAGTAGATCCGCACATCTAGTCTTTTACATCTCCCGTGTCAAGCTTTTGCCATTCCGGTTGAAATGTATGTGCCTACTGTCATTTTCAGTGTTTTGTTTGTTCAAGGGATCCATTTTGAACATAGGAGGATCCCAACTACATGGAAAAACAGCATATATGAAGTGCTTGTTGAAAACTGTTTCACCCCAAAGTAAATGCATTCTCAATAGTTTCAATTATTTAACCTTGTACAGCTTACTTCATTAAAACACCCCCAACACAGAATTACAGGTTTCCATGAGAATAGTCTGTTTATTCTATTATTCTGAACATTTAAATGCGCCTTTGTGATCAGCTTAGCCAATTCCACATCGTACCAGTAGTTCCAAAATATCTCTATAAATTCAACAAGTTAAACTCTAATCCTTTAAACCTACTTTCCAGCCAAAACCTTGATTAAAAGGATATTGTCAAACTGCAACAAGTTCAGCAATAAACCGACATGCCAACATATATAGGCTTGTGTCAGAGGCCCAGTTCTAGTGAGATTGTTGTTACCTCAAGTTGTCTCTTCAGATCGGTCTTTTCTTTCTCCAGTTCGGCATTTTGCTCCTGCAGAGCTTTGGTCTGCGCAGCAAAGTCCAGGGACTGACAGAAGGAGACACATGTTTTAAAGTTATTTCTTATTGATCCATTATGAATACAAATACACACTGAATGCAAACTGAATATTGGTACTCTTTAGTAAAGGGTAAATAGTCGATAGCTGACAGTATCTGACTAAAGCAACATAAGTTTGACATAATATGCACGCAGTTTTAAAAGGAAGTTCAGTAGAACTACACTTTTACAGTCCAAAATCTAGGAATTTAATATAAAAATATGTAAAGATGCTGATGTTGATATGTAGTTGGCATATCACAATAATATAACAATGTCTCACTTTATTGTCGCCTTGTGAACTCGCCGTGGCCCGAGACTTTAGCGTTTGTATCTTCTCAAAGACGAGGTTGACTTTTCTCTTTGTCATTTCATCATTGTCGTTGCTTCTGCAGACACACACCCAAGATAACACACTTTTTTAAATTCCAGACTGTTCTGGGAACAGAGTAAGTCATTCCCAGCTTAGAAAGGGTCAGGAAGGATCATGCTGCTTTGAAGTGTCACCTCACAGCACAAACAGCTTCATTACACCCATCCAATAAACATGAGCGGAAGAATAGAACATATGGGCAATATAATGGGATTTCTGCAGAGTCTAATTGGATCACCTACTAAATTTGTAGGAACCAGAGCTGAAAATGTTGCAGCAACCATGCAGGGGTTAAGAAATACCACAATTTCTAATGCTTTCAAATGTAAACATCCAAATTGCGATCTTCTTTTTAAAAATGTTATGGATGACTTGCTCAAGGCATCCAGATGATATAAAATTAATTATATGGCATAGTAAACATTTGCATATTTTTTTAATAATAAAATAATAATTATTGAAACAAAAACAGAATCTGTAAGAAGCCTGTATTCACAGTATTTGGTTATGAAACCAGCTACACCCACAAATATTCTTCTTCATGCCCATCCTCTCTGATGGTAACATAGATTATGTCCTATATTTCAAAAATAACAGTGGCAACCAATTGCAGTACCGTTCTAGTCAGTAAAAATCTTAAAATAAATATCACGTTCTCCAGAACTAAAAAAAAAGAAAAAAAAATAGCTTTGTCTTTTAAACACTGGGCATTTCTCAGTTTAAAAGCCCAAAAATTGGAGGATTTGCTCACAGAACAATATTTAATCATCCAGTTAAGTGAAAACATCAGAATCCACAAAAGTGGAGTTACAACACTTTCACGTGACAGCAGTAATATATTAGTTCAATAAATTACATGGCTTACACAGAAAGCCAAACCTCCCCCAACCTCTCCTCTCCTCATACAGATGATTTTCATTAAACCTTTATAACCCCTGCCGATGAATGTTTGTCTTGAGAATGGAGCTCAGTTTCAGCCCCAGAACTTCCATCTGTGTTTCCTTTCCTTTGTCCTGTGACTCCTGACCTGTGGCTCGACACACCCAAGCAGTTTCCTGTTCCCTTTCGGCAGTACCACAAGCCTGTAGTGCATGCAAGAACTGTAGGAAATGGCAAACTGTTTCTCACTGTAGGACTACCGCAGAGTACAGTTTCATTGGGATGCGTTTCAACTTAAACGTTCTCCAAAAACAATTCTTGACATTGACTTGCTAAATTAATTAAAATACTGTAAAGAAAACATAAACCATCACTGAATTAAATCCTTTAAAACCTAAAACTGCATTTAACCTTTTAACCCAATATGCCTTTTCTTAACAGGCCGTAAGTATCTGATTACAAAAGCAAACAGAACGTCTTCTCCTCATTTCACACTGCAGGAAAGACAAAGCAGAGAGAGAACGTGAAAACAAACTCCAGACAGCTAGATCCCTCGCAGCCTGGATGGGAGGGTAAGAGGAGCACATTCCTTCACTTTTATCACAAACAGTCCAACTCTGATAAAAACCATTTATGCGCTCCCACAGAGAACCCTCCTCCATCATGAAGCATTGCCTTATGGTGCAACATGCTGAATTTGGGCTTTAGAACGAAAAATTAAGATTTCATGATTCAAGTAACAGCCACAGATTGAGACTTAAACATTTTCACAATATTTGGTCAAAAATGTTTTCATTAATATGAGCAAATAAAGCTAAAAAAAGTACAATGATAAGAACAGAAAAGTCTAGACAACTCACCCATCCTTAAGGTAATTGAACAAAATTTGCTTTGCCGTCTCTTCATGTGTTTGTTGTGAAAGCTCCTGTTGACCTTTCAGAAGATCGGGTGTCGCCTGGAAATGGCAGGAAATGAGAGGGAGATTTTAATGAAATAAGAAAGATCTTGACAAAGCAAAAATGGTGTTCTTCTCTCACAGATCCTCATTTTAAAATACTGAACAGACAATTGTCTGTTGGACAACATAGTAATAATAGGAAAAGTTCAAACAAAGAAATTTCAAATGCCAATCTTAGTGTTACAGCATAGATCTCTTCCTTTTTACCTGAACATCTGCCTCTGTACTGGGCTTTTTGTCTGCGGTGGAGGAAGGCTTGGACAGCGATGTTGACAGCGATGCTGTCAAAACCTTTCCAGCTGAAGCGGCGCTGTCCTCGATCTCTTTACTCTTATATGACAATGAAGATGTCTGTGGCTTTGTGTATACCTGTATGGAGCCAACACCTTTCGAGATGGTGCTCTGTGGGGAGCCGGGCGCGCTGGTGGCACGAGATGAAGCTCTGGAGTCCACCTTACCATCTACAGCCGTGAGCCAGGAGTCCTGACTGCCAGATGCTCTCTGCAGCCGTAGCTGTGAGGGACGCAGGACGTGCTCCATCGTGCCTCGGTAGCAGCTAGAGCCATCTCGCAGGCCGAGGGCGCTATCCACACTGCGTGAGCGCTTCCTATCCTCTGGATTGATCCTGTTCCTGCGCCCTGCCCTGCCCCTGCGCTGATGGCTGCCATCTTTGCCATCAAACTTCTCAATGAGCTCATCGACACCAGGAATGGAGCCTGTGTCAATGTCTCTGCCTGAACCGGGGAGGAAAGGGATGTAGCGTCGGTTCTCGTGGCGGTTGATGGTGTCTGCGTACAGTGCCTCCATCTGGTCATCCACCAGAGCCTTAGAGGAGGAAGAGGAGGAAGAGTGGCGGGAGCGGGAAGAGGACTGAAGAACTGGCCCACTGGAGTCAGTCCTGCGTAGCGGAAGGACATCAGGCTCACGGCGGGTGCGCTCCAGGCTGGAGTTGGCGCTGCTCATTGAACTGGCCGATATGCATGATATCTTGCTCTGATCACTCGTGGGACTCATCATAGCAGAGGGCTGAGGCTGGGCTGCAGACACGGGTTGGTTCTGAGTTTTAAAGCCTGGCTTGGACTGAGGTGGATTCAGGCTGGTGAGACGAGGTTGGGACTGCGGCTGAGCCACTTGTGATTGTGGCCTGGTCTGAGGCTGAGTGAGCTGGACTGGAGGCAAAGACTGAGGCTGTGACTTCAGGCTATTAGATGGAAGTTGTCTTTTCTCTTGCTGCTCAGGAGCTTTATTATGGTCCAGACTGGATGACTTTGTGTGGGATGGTGCAGGTACAGCAGATTTGGAGGTGGAACTCTGCTGCTGGTTCCCAGTCTCAGCCAGAGGCCTTGAAGGCAGGCTGGGGATACCATCAAGGTTCAGGGAGTTGGTGTCTGGATCATACGGCTGCAGTATCTCAGGGTGCTTCTGAAAGTTCAGAAGTGTGGATGGTTTCTTTCCTTGTGAATCTGCGACACCATTTTGAGGCCCGGTGTAATGCATCATCTTCTGAGACCTGTAGTCCATGAAGGGGCTGCTGGATCCAGCCTCCTTTCCTCCCCTGAAATCATACTCCTCAAAGTTCTCAATAAAAGAGCCCTCTGCATCGACGTACCCGTTACTGTTAGGGTCGATATAGGAGTGAGAACCCCTGTCCTGGTTGTTGAGAACTACATAGGGGTGACCATCTATACCCTGGACACGGATGCTGAGACCGTATGTACCAGCTCCATTACTGTGGGGCTTGGAGGGGCGGGACGGCTGAGTGTGGCCCCGCTGTGGTCCGCTGTTGGGAATGCCAGACACTCTGTACGACTCCATCAGGAATGCAGAAGGAAAATAAATCCCTCTCCCTGGATCAGGTGGCCCACCTCTGCAACCAAAGGTTTAGACAGGCTGGATTAGTCAGAGATGAGACGCTTCATAATTCAGTGATATCAACAAACATTTCCCAGAGTCACCCTCAGCCACTCACAAAACATTAAACGCTCCCTGCATTTAATTATGTTGCCCACTTTCATTTTCTTTTCTTGTTTTGCATTCTTAATGTTCTGTTGTCTCTCCAAGGACACCTTTCCTGTCAAACTGCTCGGCTAATATGCTCAGGCCAAATGAAGAATCAGACAATAAGCTCCCTGTGATGCCTGTAACATCTTAGAACCCATAATATCTCTAGACAATGACATTGGCCGCATTCTTTTTAACAGCAAAAATGACCAGGTACTGTTCAAAAAGGCCTTACAGGTGTGTGGCTAACTGGGATGGTATAACAAAATGAGTATGTCAGACCTGAGAAAAATGTGAGAGCTCTGTCATCTCTACACAACTTTGGAGGGTGTTAGAGTGAATATTCAGTGTATGTGTTTGTGTATGCACATACACAGCATAGTTAATCCTTGTAAATGACATTGTAATTTGCAGCCCACAATCATGGGAAATGCCATGAAAAGAGAGCAACAAAATCTTATTCGGCTCAATTTTGTCACATTTATAATAATGGCAGGGTTGTCAAGAGTTGACAGATTTGCAGCCCAAACGTGAGAACACAGCTGGCAATAAATCTCAAACTGTGTACAAATATTAAAGTAAGTAAGCTGCTAAGTGTTCTTCGTGACACATTTATGCCTGGGAAGCCGGCGAAGACAAAGCCATCAGCGGCCGCCATGTGTTTCGCTGGACAATGGGCTTTTAACAGGCTCATGTTTGCCTTGCTGATAGCGTCCTATTCTACCTGAAATAATTTTACAGTACAAAGACGGGCCGAGATGGGCCTGGAAGAAGCACACGGATAAGACTGACAACAAAGGCAAAAGCAGGATATATCACATTAGCATGAAATAGGTAAAGACAGGCCTATGGAAAAAAGATATAGCATCATGTAAGACGATATGCAGCTTGAGAACATTTGTTAGCTGACACAGACCTTGCCATACTGTATGTATGCAATTGGTTTACACCATTGTGGGTAAAGATGCAAAACACAAATCAGTGAGCAAGATAGCTTTATGGCAATATTGGATGCTTTATTATTTTATGTGACGACATGAGAAAATATACTGATTTGTCATCTATTCAATCCGCTGGATAAGTCAAAAAAAGACATTCCTGTCTGACAACCATTCCAAAATTGATTTTTCCAATAATGTACTATATTAGGGTATATATCAATATCGCTGTTTTTGTGTCAGGTGAGGTGGCCTGCTTCTACCATTTATTTCATACATGTCAGCCACTCCCAGCGCCACATGAGAATAATTCACCTCAGCTTGGTTTCGACAAGTCAATGAATACAGTGACTGGTTGATCCTGGTGCTTCAATTAGTCAGAATTAGTCAGCTTCACACTCTGTAGTCTGAACAGGAGGAAAGAGGAGGGCCATGGTAAAGTGTCCTGTCAAGGACAGATTAAAGCCAAAGAAGACACAACAGACTCTTTCATTCTTAGTGTCACATGTATCCAAAACACAAGGGCTCCAACAAGTGTGCAGCTATGTTCCTCCCATTGTGTTTTTCACTGCAAAAAGGAGGAAACCCTCACTGTGCTGCCCCCACATAGAGGCAGTACGGCCTTCACTGTCCCCTGTCCCGCAGAGCAGAGAGGTCAGCACAGGAACACAGGTTGGATGTCAAGGCCCTGGCTTTGATCTGTGCAGAGGGTAGGCTCTGCAAAGATTTAACGAAGCAGATGTTTATCTCCTCATGTGAACTGATTAGCTTTCAGTGTCGCAGAGAGGTTGTCTGTAACTGCAGTGACTCACATCACTACAAAAAGGACGACCACTAAAGAAATGAGTGTAAAAAGTTTAACCAAGTCCTTCAAGACAGCAAGGGTTTACACTGTGGGAAAATATGTCAAAGTTACGTAACATGAATGTGAGTCCACAAATCTGGACCATCAGGTAAATGCAACGTGAACTTTTGTAAACAAAATTAAAGCCATACCACTGTTGTGTCAATCATAAACAGAGGTTGGAGTAATCTAAAATCATTAAAGCAGCTATTTAGGAAAGGAGAAACAGCTGCAGTTTGAGTCGACGCAGTTTTAACGTTACATCGCTGCTCAGTGCAACAGGTGGCATGAATCACACCACCAGCCTGAGATTTACTGTAACCCCTCTGGTTTGAGATACATTTTTCTCACGTCCACGCGTCACTTAATTTAGTCGAGTTTAGAGAAAGTTACATTGTCCTTTTTTGCGTTAAATGTTAAGTTTTTAGCCTCTTAATGAGCTTAAGGGCTGTTCACGCTCCCACACCAAACTGAACATCTACAATGAATAAGTGTTTGTGAGTTTACTCACCAGCGTCGCGTTTCTGTCTGGTTTAGTGATCGCAGGTTATAAGCGTTTGTTTCAAATGTTTTTTTAAAGAAGATACACGGTTGAGCTAAAGCATCCACGCCACTGCTTGCTAACTTATTTAGTCCCGTGTTGTTTTCTAAGATTGAGAGAGAGAGAGAGCAGGACAGTGTCAGAACTACGTCCGACCCTCCGGGCCGCTCCGCCTCCTGAAACAAGCGCACAAACCCGCCCACCTACCCAAAAACCAGCCCGCTGGTCCAGGAACAGATTTCACACCATGAATTCTACCTCAAGCCTTGGCGAGACCACTTGTCCTAGGCCCAGCTTCAGTTTCAGCTCAGCAGGGTCTCGAGAGACTCAAAACAAGTTGTAGGTGTGACCTGACACCCACTCCGTTAATTAGTCTTTCATATGAGCTCGTTGACATCTTTTAAACTGAATGAAGTATCACATTTTAGCTGGGCCGACATAAAAAACGTATCACAAATACAAAATGACTGAGTTAACAGATTTGAGGTGTGAGTCACTATTTTGCTATGTGAAACAAAATGTTCCAGTAGATAGTAATCCTGATATATCTTTTGAAATAACTAAAATAAATATGTCAGAAAAACTGGGAGATTAAAATAACACGTTAAGTTCACACATTTCTTATGCAAACGAATGTTTTTTTATGCCCTGGGAGAATCTGTTCGCCTCAACTCCAACTCAATGCAAGTTTAATTATAAGCTGTCTTGATGTCTTTAAAAACCGAGAGCGTCATCTAGTGGATAGTAAATGGCGGTTTGTTAATGAGAACCTGTGCTGGTGGCACTGGCGTTAACTCACACAGACGGTGCTGTAAACGCACCACCGTGAATACACACCATCCCTGTGCATCACACAGAGCATCTTGATGCACAGGGATGGTTTGAGGCAGGTATTCTGTCTTATGATGAAGAAAAGTTGAAAAATGTTCAGCATGCACTGGAGAGTATTATTTTAGAAATGGCGTGTCTGTGGTGTACACCTACTTTAAGAGGAAGTGCGGGACTAAGCAAACAACACTGAGCAGTGATAAATAATATCTAGGATGGCTTAAAGCAGGCCTAGGTAGTAGCAGCAGCAGGATTACAGTCAGTTTATAAATATCTCACAGAACAATAAAAAAAAAAAAGTACAATTCAAATCAGCTTTATTGGCATGAATGTATAACAACAATATAACAATAATATGTGATCATGTTTCGATTTTACTGCATATACTGTACCTACACCCTATACTGTATAAACTGCTTTATGAAATAAACAATAAAAAAAAATATATATATATATATATAACAATAACCAAATGTGATTCTGCAAGTGTCAAATTTTTACTGCCACAATAAATACATAAATAACTGTTTTATTGTTGTTGACACTGTCTTAGAAAGGTGTTGATTTAACACTGGTTATGTTGGAGGCTATACTTCTGGTGTTGTATTGGATTGCATGATGCTATCAGGTTTTCTAATACATTTGCTGTTGTAGAAACACCTGTCCAGAACTATTGAATTTCACTTTTTGTGCTATGAAAACGGTCAGATAGTTAAAGCTGCTTCTGATTGTCTGGACAAATTTGTAATCAGGTCCTTGAAAGTTCTTGCATGGTTTGCTTGTCTTCAGACATTTACATCACTGCAACATTTACACATCACTAGTGTAAAAACAAAACAAAAAAAACAATCAAATACCCAGCTCTCAAAACGTTTTAGTAACAAAATGTCTGTTCATTCAGTGTATGTTACTTTACGCTGTATAAAATGACCCAATTCAACATTTTCACAAATAGTACTTACATATACAATGACAGTTTCAGTACAATGACCAGTGATAGAAAAACATAATCAAAACAATACTTCAAAATCTTACCAAAAGTAAGTACAAAGGTAATTGTTAAAGGTACTTCAAATATCAAAAGTAAAAATACGGTATTCATTCTGCACACCAATAGCCCTCACAGGGTTGTTATGTACATATGAATGGATCAATATTACTATTGCGTTAACTTGTAAGCTACATTTTAATGTTGTGGCTAGTAGAGAGGGAGATGATTTTAACTACTTTACACACTGTTATATAAAATGAAAATACTCAAGTAAAGAATCTCTACAGAGAGAGTACTACAAACTTTTCAGCACTGACAGTGACAGAAAACAAATTGTAACGTTCACTGTGACTTAGAAGAAATTAATGATTTTTATAAACCTTTCCACAGCCGCATAAACTACAGTAAACTAGAGGTCCAGCTGCCCCTGTGCCTTTGTGGTAGCCCACTGTTTATATTTGTGTCCGCAGAGAAACCGCGCAGCACCGCAGCCTTTAATCTGAGTTCTGTGCCGCTGTGTTGGGTTACATCAGCACACAATAAGAGCTCTGTTCTCCGCTGAGGTGCCACAGCTGGGACCTCTGGGCATGCTCAGTACACAGCTTATCCTGATTATATGAAGGACTGCAGGCTTTCCAATGGCAACCCAACCTAACTGACATGCACCAGAGATGTCATAGAGCTCATTCGATTTCATCTTTTCCATTGTGGATTTTGCTGGCTCTGCACTAGTGTGACTGTAGACAATGTGGTGGAGAAAAGACTGTATTTCCCACTCCCAGTCAAGTTGTTTAAGTTTGCAGATGATAAAGCATTAGTAGCATGGTAATGTGGCAGCTCAGAGACATTAGGTTTCATCCCTGGTGTGCATCCAACAATTTGGAACTGAATGTGTCTAAATCAAAAGTAGTAGTCGTGGACTGAACAGCCATCTACCTTCATAAACAGTCAGGAAATCCAACAGGTGGAGAACTACAAATTCTTGGGTGTAACAGTTTCCTTGTATTTAAAGTGGGACATCAACACAGAAACAGAACAGGAAGCTCAGCAAATACTTCAACTCTTTTGGAAAGCTAAACATTTTCGATATCACAGGAGAGTATGATGCAGTTTTATTATGCTGGTGGAGAGCACCCTCACCTATGGATCAACTGTGTGGTATTAAGAAAACACTTGAGCACAAGACAGGAAACGTGTGGACAAAGTGGTGCAAACTGCTTGAAGAGTCATCAGCCAAAAAGGGACACACGATTCTTAGACTCTTCTCACCTTCCTAATCATCTTTATAACTTCTTTCTGAAAAAATATCAAAGCTGGGTTCAGCAACAGATCTTGCCCAGAGGCCAGTCTCATCATTAACTCTAAATTATCACCAATGTGTGTAATTATTCTTGTTCATATCGTATTGTGGACAGATAATGCGACAATGAGCTCCTGGGCATAGGAGCACGACACCTAGACTCTTTCAGTAACGTGTTGCAGGTGAAGCAGAACTCTCAGGTGCTGCTGTCGGATCGAGAAAAAAAATATATACAGTATCTCACAAAAGTGAGTACACCCCTCACATTTTTGTAAATATTTGATTAGATATTTTCATGTGACATCACTGAAGAAAGAACACTTTGCTACAATGTAAAGTAGTGAATGTACAGATTGTATAACAGTGTAAATTTGCTGTCCCTTAAAAATAACACATCACACAGCCATTAATGTCTAAACTGCTGGCACTAAAAGTGAGTACACCCCTAAGTGAAAATTTCCAAATTGGGTCCAATTAGCCATTTTCCCTCCCCGCTGTCATGTGACGCGATAGTGTTACGAGGTCACAGGTGTGAATGGGGAGCAGGTGTGTTAAATTTGGTGTTATCACTCTCACTCTCCCTCCTACCGGTCACTGGAAGTTCAACTTGGCACTTCATGACAAATAACTCTCTGAGGATATGAAAAAAAGAATGGTTGCTCTACATAAAGATGGCCTAGGCTATAAGAAGATTGCCAAGACCCTGAAACTGAACTGTTGCACGGTGGCCAAGACCATACAGCGATTCCACAGGACAGGTTCCACTCAGAACAGGCCTCGCCATGGTCGACCAAAGACGTTGAGTGCACGTGTTCAGAGTCATATCCAGTGGGTGTCTTTGGGAAATAGACGTATTGAGTGCTGCCAGAATTTCTGCAGAGGTTGAAGGAGTGGGGGGTCAGCCTGTCAGTGCTCAGACCATACGCCACACACTGCATCAAATTGGTCTGAATGGCTGTCGTCCCAGAAGGAAGCCTCTTCTAAAGATGATGCACAAGAAAGCCCTCATGGATTACTGGAACCATTTCCTGTGGTCTGATGAGACCAAGACAAACTTATTTGGTTCAGATGGTGTCAAGTGTGTGTGGCGGCAACCAGGTGAGGAGTACAAAGACAAGGGTGTCTTGCCTACGGTCAAGCATGGTGGTGGGAGTATCATGGTCTGGGGCTGCGTGAGTGCTGCCGGCACTGGGGAGCTACAGTTCATTAAGGGAACCATGAATGCCAACATGTACTGTGACATACTGAAGCAGAGCATGATCCCCTCCCTTTGGAGACTGGGCTACAGGGCAGTATTCCAACATGATAACGACCCCAAACACACCTCCAAGACGACCACTGCCTTGCTAAAGAAGAGGTTAAAGGTGATGGACTGGCCAACCATGTCTCCAGACCTAAACCCTATTGAGCGTCTGTGGGGTATCCTCAACCTCTGACATCCACCAGCTCCGTGATGTCGTCATGGAGGAGTGGAAAAGGACTCCAGTAGCATCCTGTGAAGCTCTGGTGAACTCCATGCCCAAGAGGGTTAAGGTAGTGCTGGAAAATAATGGTGGCCACACAAAATATTGACACTTTGGGCCCAATTTGGACATTTACACATTAATGGCTGTGTGATGTGTTGTTTTGAGGGGACAGCAAATGTACACTGTTATACAATCTGTACACTCACTACTTTACTTTGTAGTGTCATTTCTTCAGTGTTGTCACATGAAAAGAAATAGTCAAATAAGTACAAAAATTTGAGGGGTGTACTCACTTTTGTGAGATACTGTATATATAAACAAAATATAGTAGGAAACCATCAAAGAAAGCTATTTTCCTAATGTTATTCTGAATTACTAATTTGACTGTATTTTAGAGAAATTTTACTGTAGCTTCACCATGCTGTTAAGCTGTATTAAGGAAAAATAAACAAAAACAAAAAGATAACTTTATTTTATGCGTGTGTAATTTTCTAATGATTTCTTCATAATTTGATACAAATTATAGGGAAAATAGTAATATGC